GAACCCAACATTCTGCTGCCTACAAGAAACACACCTGAACAGTCAGAAAAAAACACGAACTCAAAGTCAAAGGATGAAAAACAATCGTGCAAGCAAATGGCCCCTCAAAAAAACCAGGGTGGTCTTACTAGTAACAAACAACATAGATTTCAGGTTGAAAAAGATTAGAAGGGACAGTGAAGGCCATTTTTATTAATCAAGGGATATGTACAGCAGGAAGAAATCACACTCCTAAACAAACACGCAACCAATGAGCACAGTAGCATGGTCCTCCCATTGTTCATCGATTTGCTCGAGGGGGCCCAGTAACATCTCCATCGTGAGACTTGTTGTTACTGTGTTTGGCATAATGGGTAGCTTGCCTGGCTTTGCTGTATGGGCGAAATACTCTCGGTAGCTTGCTGGGCTCTCCAAGAGGGGTGGAGGAATCGAACTTGGCTCGAACGGGCTGGCTGCACACAAAGCAAATGCCCAACTGCTCTGCTATCGCTCCAGCCCACACCCAATGAGGGACCAGTCAAATAACTATAACAACTGCTAACAGACCCTGAGAAGGACATTAAGAGCAACACCATAGTAGTGAGAGACTTCAACACCGTGTTATCACCCCTGGATAGATCAAGACACACATTCTTTTCCTGTGCACATGGAACCATTTTCCAGAATAGACCACATGCTGGGCCACAAAGCATACCTTAACAGAATCAGGAAGATAGACATTGTATCAACTATCTTCTCAGACCACGATGCATTGAGATAGAAGTTAATCATGTAAAGATGCAGAAAATCAAATCAAACACCTGGAAATTAAACAATTCAATGTTGAAGAACAAGTGGGCCAGGACAGAAATCAAGGAAGAAATCAAAAGATACCTGGAAACAAATGAGAGTGAAGACACAAGCTAGTAGAACCTGTGGGATGCAGTTAAAGCAGTGTTAACGGGAAAATTTATAGCTCTGCAAGCATTTCTCAAAAGGAAGAAAGGGCCCACATAAACAACTTGACTTCACAGCTCAAAAACTTATAAAAGACCAACAAAAAGAGCCCAAAGCAGGCAGAAGGAAAGAGATCATAAAATTTAGAGCAGAAATCAATGACATGGAAACCCCCCCAAAAAATCCGAAAGATCAATAAAACCAAGAGCTGGTTCTTCAAGAAATTAAACAAGATTGATAAACCACTAGAAAGACTCACAATGAAAGAGAGAGAGAATCCTAGTAAACTGAATCAGAAAAGAAAAGGGGGATATCACAACAGAAACCAAAAAAATTCAAAACATCATCAGAGACTAGTTTGAGAGTCCGTATGCCACGAAACTGAGAACCTAGAAGAAATGAATAAATTGCTGGATTCCTATAATCTCCCACAGCTGAATCATAAGATCTAGAATGCCTGAATAGTCCTATTAATATCAAGGAAATTGAAACTGTAATCAAAAGTTCCGGCCCCCCCAAAAAAAATGCCCAGGTCCAGATGGATTCATTAGCGAATTTTTCCAAACATTTAAAGGGGACCTATTGCCAGTTCTTCTCAAGCTTTTCCAGGAAAATAAAAAAACAGAAACTCTCCCAAACAGTTTCTATGAAGCTCACATCTCTCTAATACCAAAAGGAAACAAAGACACCACAAGAAAAGAAAACTACAGACCAATATCCCTGATGAACATGGATGTGAAGATTCTCAACAAAATACTAGCAAATAGAATTCAACAACTTATCAAAAAGATCATATACCACGACCAAGTGGGATACATCCCGGGGATGCAAGGATGGTTTAACATTCAGAAACCAATCAACATTATCATCATATCAAAAAAAAGATAAAAACCATATGATCATATCAATATATGCAGAGAAAGCATTTGACAAGATCCTGCACCCGTTTATGAAAACCCTCCCCAAAATGGGGACACAGGGGACTTTCATCAATATAGTTAAAGCCATCTACCACAAGCCTACAGCAAGCATCATCCTCAATGGGGAAAAACTGAGAGACTTCCCCCTAAGATCAGGGACGAGACAAGGATGTACACTCTCTCCACTGCTGTTCAATATAGCACTGGAAGTACTTGCAATAGCTATTAGGCAAGAAAAAGATATTAAGTGCATCCAGGTAGGAAAGGAAGAAATCAAGCTCTCACTATTCGCAGATGATATGATAATATACTAGGAGAACCCTAAAGCCTCCACCAAGAAACTCCTAGAAATGATAGACTTGCATAGTAAAGTTGCAGGCTATAAAATCAATACACAAAAGTTCATGGCTTTCCTATACACAAATAATGAGAGAGAAGAAAGTGATATGAAAAAAACAATCTCGTTAACCACTGTGTCCCAGAAAAATCAAGTACCTAGGAATCAGCTTAACTAAGGTCTTAAAAGATTTGAACAAAGATAACTATAAAACGCTATTTCAGGAAATTAAAGAGGACACAAAGAAATGAAAAATTATCCCCTGCTCATGGATCGGGAGAATTCACATTGTCAAAATGGCAATATTCCCCAAACCATTGTACAAAATCAATGCAATACAAACCACTGTACAAATATAATGCAATACCTATAAGGATACCCATGACATTCTTCAAAGAAATGGAGCAAACACTCCTGACATTTATATGGAACAATAAATAAGCACCCACAAATAGCTAAAACAATTCTTGGCAAAAATAAAATGGGATGAATCAACCTTCCCAACCTCAAACTCTACTACAAAGTAGTAATAATTAAAACAGTATGGTACTGGACAAAGGCAGAACCACAGAACAATGGAACAGGGTTGAATATACTAACACACCCCCTCAAATATATGATCATCTAATCTTTGAAAACAGAGCAAGAAATGTGAAGTGGAGTAAGGAAACCCTCTTTAACAACTGGTGCTGGCAAAACTGGACAGCTACATGCAAAATAATGGGCTCAGATCTCTACCTAACACCATATGCAAAAGTAAGATCAAAATGGATTAAAAACCTCAACATCAGACCAGAATCCATAAGGTACATTGAAGACAAGGTTGGAAAAACCCTCCACAAATTTGAAGCTAATGGTATCTTCAAAGATGACATGCCACAGGCCAAGCTAGTGAAAACAGAGACAAATGGGACTATCTTAAACTAAGAATATATGTATATTCATATACATATATGTATATATACATGTATGTTTATATATATGTATGTGCATGTAGTGTATAGTATATAAATATATAAACATAACATATATATGTGTGTCTGTGTGTGTCTAGATAGTTACATAGCCTTTTGCTCTCGAAAAGTTAAATGCACATTCATCTGCAATGCATATGGCACATTCACCAAGATAGACCACATACTGGAACATAAAACATACCTTCACAAAGTCAAGAGAATAGAAATCATGCTATCTATCTTCATGATGCAATGAAAATAGAAGTTAATCACAAATAGAAATGGAAAAGGAACTCAAATACCTGGAAATTAAATAGCTCTTTATAGAACCACCAGTATATCAGAGAGAAAATCACAGAGGAAATTTAAATATTCCTGGAAACAAATGAGAATGAGGATAAGACTAATGTGAACATGTGAGATACAGCAAAAATGGCGTTAAGATGAAAGTTCACATAAACAACCTAACAATACAACTTAAGAAACTGGAAAATGAGCAATAAGTGGCTAAAGTATTCCAAAGGAAGGGAATAATAAAACTTAGAGCAGAAATAAACTGGAGGCCAAGAAAATAATCTAAAAGATCAATGAAACTAAGGGCCAAGTCTCTGAAAAAATAAGACTCACCAGTAAGACTCACAAAGAGAGAGAGAACCCTAAGAAACCAAATGAGAAATGAAAGGGGGGGAACATTACAACAGAAACACAATGGTTCAAAACAACATAGTATGAGACTAATACCCAAGGACACTAGAAACAAGGGCCAGGAGGATTGGTCTATGATTGGAAACTGGATCAATGGATAAAATCTACCCACAGTATTTGTTGTCTATCTTGGCATGTGGCCAAACATAAGTTTTTCTTTTTGTAACTTAACTAACTTCTTTCTTTCTTTCTTTCTTTCTTTCTTTCTTTCTTTCTTTCTTTCTTTCTTCCTCTCTCTCTCTTTTTCACATCTTATTTTATCAAAGCACTGTGAGTTACAAAGTTATTAACAGTTGGGTTTTTGACATACAATATCCCATCAATGATCACACCACCATTGTCAACTTATCTCACCAGGGTTCCCAGTTTCCCTCTCCAACTCCCCTCCTACAACCTTGCAAGTAGATACAAAACACATAAGACCTGGTATTCAGTAGAAAACAAGCCACTTGAGAGGCTGGGGAAAGGACAGGAAGGGGCAGTATCCTGGTGGTGGGACACTTTCAACAGAGAGAAGGTAGTGCTGAAAGGTGATAAAGTGTTACTTATGAAACCCTATCAGCAACAGTAGTGTAAACCACAGTGAAAACCACTTATAGATATATGCCTCTCACAGAAACAGACTGTTGGTTGCAAAATAAATGGGGTTGGGGATAGGGGAATTGGTGGAGGGAAGTGGACACTGGTGAAGAGATCAGTGTTGAAACACTCTATGACTGAAACCCAATCATCAATAACTGTAATTTCACAGTGACTAAAAAGATTTTAAAAGATAATAACTTCATAAAGATAAAATAAATTGGTGAAAGATTTGGAATAATCTTAATGTAATTAACAAATATATTTGACTCAATTAATGTAATATTATGCAATTGTACAAAACAACCAGAAAATTCATCTATATAGACTGGGAAATATCTTGATAATGTAGAGATGTGTGTAAATAAGGACTCTCAATGTACACAAGAACATTCATCTGTACAATAAGGATGTATATTGCATATGCTTTGAAATCATTGTTTCTCATGCAGAGGGATGGGGCAGTTCTGGGAAAATAAGCTATGCATCACATCTTTCTTTGGAACATATTCTTTGGGACTTGAGGGCGCACTTCAGCCTTTTTTGCATGGGATCTGAGAGTCCTACCTTTTCTGTACCAGTGATACGTGGTAACTGCCATTTCCTCAGGCATGTTGTGGATCCTCATTTGAACTCCAGAACTATCCCCAAAATCCATCACCACACAACAAGCTGCTTTGGAAGCAATGTGAAGTCGGAACCCCAGGTTTTTAGGTGCCCATACATCAGTTTCTGGGTAACCATGGATGGCAGACTCTATAGTCACAGCATGATCATGTATTGGGACGGCTCCATGATGACAATCAGTACAAGGACAGGGCTCTCGAAGACCAGGTTGGGATTCTGAGAGGCTGTGAATGTTGACAGCTCCCAAAGGAAGGCTGGAAGAGATGTGGGGAGAGAGGAAGGAATGCCTCAGGACCATTCTGCAGAACAGGAAGACAGCTCATAGGTCTGTTGCACATTCCCGACACATGCCAGGGCCCCAGGTTTGATCTCTGGCACTGCATGAACCCTGAATTCCATGACAATTTAACTCCAGTGGCCCCCACAACTACTAAGAGGGCCCAAAAATAAAAAACTAAAATAGAATTACAGTCCGCCAATTCCTGGGGACATGTCATCAGGAGAGAGAAGCCTGCTTTGGAAATCATTCCACTAAAGTAAGATTTGTGAAACCTATGGCAGAGGTCTCACTGGCTCTCAAAATAGAGACAATAATTCCAAATTCACCTGGCATATGTGAGAAATGTAGATTCTCAGGCTTTCCCCAAATTCTGGGCTGAGAACAGCAATTCAATGCTGTTAAGTTATCTGCATTGTTGCAAAACACATATCCAGAACTTTACCCTCCTAAAAATCTGAAACTGTCCCTATTGAACACCAATGTCCCCTTTTCTCTTTTCCAGCTACTTTACCCAGCATTACACTTCTATGGGTACCACATAGGAGAGAATCATATACTATTTGTCTTTTTGTGAACGATTTGAGTATAAACCTATCATTTTAGCCTTTACCCTCAAATTTTAGTTATCACTATTGTTTCATACCTATGAAATAACCAATTAATGCAATACTACCCATAAATCACCAATTATTATAGTATTGAGTACCTCCAACCTCATTATGTTCCCATATTTCACAATCATGATGGTAACAAATCATTTATTGTGTCATCTTCTTATATGTACCCAGCATTAACATCAAATTGTCATCTTGATCTAATTGATCTAATTCTTGATCTTGATCATCTTGATCTAAACTATCAAAGATAGTTTACTGACATACCAGCCAACGTGGATACCCCAATCTGAGTGAGCCACTGTTTTCCCATTAACTTTTGACATTGTTCCACTAGTTGTTTTCAAAGTGTTCTACAGAGAAAAAATGAAAAATAAAAACATTTAAGACCTGCATATGAAAACTAGTACATCTGGAAAAGTAACATTATAAGAATACAAAAATTGAAGCTGACCATGGCTATGTGGCAGGCACCACTGAGCCCCAGAGAACCAGTAACTATTTGTTGTCAGTTTGCATGGAGCTCACAATTGTGGGGAAGGCTGTGATAGTCAGGTGGCCATAGCTACACTAGGGTCACCAGGAGGACAAGAGAGAAATAGAGTGTGAGCAGATGCACAGTGGGGTTTAGACCTGGGAGCTTTACAACTTTTTCTGAATGAGATGAAAGTGAGGAAAAATATAGAGACAATTTGAATTATACCTTTGAAGCATTGGTTGGGCTGCTTTACTGGAAAAAAGCTGTGGAAGGTAAGAACTTTAATGCTAAATTTTCTGAATAGAGTTTCTAACCTAATTGAATCTAAAGGCAAGAATGATTCTTGTTCTAATAGCAAAAATAGCACCGACAATTCATGTGTAATATGGTTGCAGAGACATGTAAAATGACAGCATCAGGTGATTCAATCATATTTACAAGAGGCACTTCAGATCATCTCGGCCAAACTAACCAGGATACTGCTTATCCTACAAAGCCTGGACAAAGCAGATAAAGAAGGGTGAATTCAGGAATTAGAATTCTCATTTTCAGTGAAGTTTGGAGAGGTGTTTGCAGCCCTCACTCATAGGTGTTTATCCTATTTACAGGGGGAAGGTATTTGCCTTGCATGTGGCTAACCTGGTTTCATTCCCATCGAGACCTTAGAGCACTGTCAGGAGTAAACTGAGCACTACCAAGTGTGGCCCCCAAACCAAATAAGTATACAAATAAACAACAGAAAGTTCTTCATTCAAGTACTGTTTACTTTAAATAAATTCTTATTGCCTATAGTCACAGGAATCCATAGTCTCAGCTTTAACTTTCAAACATTCTGTGAAAGAACAGAGACTAGCTACTCCCTCTCCAAGAAAGTGGCTCAGTATAACTCATACCACATGCTCCCTGGAAGGAAAAGATTTTCTTGTTTTGTTTGTTTCTACAGGGATTGTTGTTGTTGTTTTCACTGTTTCATTCTTTTTGGGGGGGACACACACCCAGTGGGGCTTAGGGGCTATTCCTAGGATCTTTGAGGCAGAATTCATGCACAGTTAATTTGTATTAGTGTGTTAACCCCTCACATTAACTCAAACCACAAATGCTCAAGTAAGTCTGAGTTCTATTTGTCAACTAATCTCTGGAAGAAGGGGGTACTGAAAACTCAGAAGAGTCTGTGTATATAAACACCTCATTCTCTCCCTGCTGAGAGAATGAGCATCCATTCCATGCTGGCCTAAACACCTCATTCTTTCCCTGACCTCCTGCTCTCAGGGGCTGAGATGTCAATCTTTGGCATCTAAACATCCTTTATTATTAACCTGAAAATATCTCTAAACAATCCTTTTTCAAAGTTATGCTGAGCATGGAAGCACGGCTCGACATTAGGTAACCGAGAAAACATTTATTTTCAGGTACAAATATTGTGTGTGTGGAGAGGTTTATAATCACACACGCTTTCTCTCACTCTCCTTGGATCTCTAAACCTGTTGACAATTGTGATGCTCAGACGTAGGCACATTCACTCACACCTCCAGGTAGTCAGATGTAATTTAATAATGACTTTCAAAGAGCTTTCTACCTCCATTCAACAAAGAAATAAAATATACAAATATAAATAGATGTATAGGTATATATATTGTAGATAACTAGAATGGCTTCCTTCTCTGACCTGTGGCCAGGTGTCTTCCCGATATTGAATATCCAGTACTTCATGTAGTTTTCTCTTTTTCAGTTTTTGGGTAATTTCTGGTGGTGCTCAGGAATCACTCCTAATGTGCTTTGGGAACCATATGGGGTGCTGGGGATCCAATCCGAGTCAGCTGTGTGCAAGGCAAGGGTCTTACCTGCTGTACAAGTGCTCCAGTCCCAGAATATCATGTCTCTAGACTGCATTCTGGTATGTCAAGGTAAAATTACAACTGTGTAACTTAAACTTGCTTCATGGACAGAACACACAGGACCAGAAACTATATCTGATAGACTCTTACTGAACCATTGAGGGCTTTCTTAGGCTCAAACATGTGTGCTCTGTGTCCAGGGGGTAGAGCAGTGGCTGTCAGGAATACCTTCTTCCAGGAAGCCAAGACAGGTGGGCTCTCTAGTTCCACAGCCTCTTCTGTTGCTGTCAGGACACAGGGCGGAAAGCCCAGCTTCTCTGCACTCACAGGCTGCATGAGATTAACACGGATCTCTAGAGTAAATAGACAAGGAAGTTCTGAAAACTGCAATGTGCCATGGAGGTGAACAGATGATAGGCACAGGTAAGGGTGACACCAGCAGACTCTCTACCAAGAAGATTTTCAGGATATGTGCCCTTAAAATATTCTTGATGAGGCTATTGTGTCCTGAATTTTGTTTCTTTCCTTTCTTACAGTGACTTAAGCATAAAATAAACCAGCCATGTTAGGGAACTCATATGGCCACAGCTGGCACTCAGGCTGGAGAAGTCCCCTCCTCAGTTCTGAAATTATAAGAGTGAGAGATTACAAACCCAGGAATGTGTGCGAAAGAAAAGGAACAAAGCCAAGAGTCAGGTGGGAAATGTCTCAGGCAAATGTGAGAATGAATAAAGAAAGACATCCCAAAGATCAAAAGCCAGATGTTCCCAAAGCACTATAAAGAGTCCATTGTATTACTATCTTGTGCTAATAAAAGCAAAAGAGAATTAATTTAATGTCCACTTCCAGTTCTTTAAAAACATGTAAGAGTAATTGACTTGAGTGCATGGTCAAACCAAGTTAGAAATGACATAATTTCACAACTAGTTCCATGAAGAAGAATTAAAAATTAAAATAAACAAGTTAGATGAGTTAGACTGGCAAAGTAACATGCTTTTCTGAATCAATTATCAAACTCACTATGGTCAGAATAACTGAAAAAAAAAAGTCTGACCTACAAAAATAGATGAACTCTACATTCCCTGAATGTAGAAAATGATATTGAAATGATAAACTTACAGTTCAAAATTACATAAATCACTTCAGAAGAAACCAAGTGAATGAATGAAAGTAACTCCACATGGTCAACATCAGACTCCCTGAGTAATAAAGAATTCAGTCAGGTGATACACAGTTAAGCTTGGGACTCCCTGGGGAAGTGAGAACAGAAAGCAGTTTGGGCTGAGCCAGGATTTCAAATTCCAATGCTGTCACCTCTAGGAAGTGAGGGCAAACTTTCTGACTTTTGATTTTCAGGCCTCTACTGATAACAGGATGAGGATAAAGTCTGGGCCTACGGGTACTCATCCGGCACCTGGTTTAGGGGTGACATCATGATCTGATGCTGGTGTTTCTTCCAAGGCCTTACCAACTTGCACTTTCTTGGCAGGACTCCGGCTGCAGATGCAGAGCTGGAGAGTCCTACTCTTGGTCATTGCAGTCATCCCACTAAGTGAGGACATGGAGCAGGAAGCCTGGACACACCTAGGGAGGTGGGGATGAATGGCAGGCAGTGAAATGAAATGTATCATTTTATTCCCAATCATCTTCTGAACTCTTCCACCCAGATCCATTTTCTTCATAAACTAAGCACACAATTTACTACTATATCAGTTCTGTTTGAGGGGTATTCTTTGTTTTGTTTTTTTTTTCTAAATTTGGCGCATGATTTCAAACATGCACTGAGACAGAGTCCCCACATTACTAATGAGATGGCCTCTTGCTTCCTGGCTACTATTCCAGGTCTCCCACCACCAAAATACAGCAAAAGTGTCATGTTGTGGGGTGAAACCCAGGCCTTTACTCCTGCTCACTTCACCCTTGCTCCAATTTCAACGAGTTCTTCCTCTGGCTCATGGACTTGCCATGTTATCGAAAGGAAACATGGGTTACCAGATGATGTGCATGTGACAGACACAAATCAAATGTTTTGTTCTTTCTATCACAGCTTCATCACAGATCAGAGAAGTAAACACAAGTACTGCCAAAGATGATATGTCAGAAATCCTGGGAAACTGGGCAACTCAACAGAGCCACATGGCATTCAAACCATCTCTAAATACAACCAGAACTGATACCTTTCCAAGGCTTTTGCTTCTGTTTGTGCTTTTGGTTTCATTTTTGTTTGAGGGCCACACACAGTAGAGCTCAGGGCTGCTTCTGGTTTGGTGCTTGGGATTGCTTCCATTGGGACTCAGGGAACCATGTGGTACCAGGACCCTCCCACATGTTTTGAAGTACCTGCCCAGCCCCTCCCAGGTGCTTTTGAGAGGAAACATTCTATAGATTCAAGATGTACTTGGAGTAAGTGCCCAGACACCTGGCACAAGCAATGTTCCGTCTGTCATTCCTTAGGCAGCCAGACCTCTGCAGACCTCTGGTGACTAAATACTGCTCATTCCCATTCATGCTGTGCCTCCCGAGAGACAGAAAACCTGTGCCAGCTGTGCTTATAACACAAGGCTGCCAGAAATACAGAAATTTTATCCTTGTTATAGGACATTTGGTAGTCTTGAACTGAGGTCTCTTTCTGTCCCACTTTACACCCATCAGGAAGGGCGTGTAAAACATTTGTTAATCTCAGGTTAGGTCTCATTTTTAGATCAGGCTGAGTTTACCCCTCTCACACAAAAAAGTACTCAGTCTGTAGCATGTATTAACTTATCTCTTGGGTGCTTATGAAATATAAAATATATGTATATATTTATAAAAAATTAAACAAGGCTTCCTTGAAGAAAGAGCCAGCTTTCTGATGAAACTACCAAGATGTTTCTACCAAGAAACAGACAAGGACAAGCATTAAAAGCACAAGGGAAAAAATGAAGGGTGCATTCTGATAGATCAAGAAGGCTGCTGGTAAGTTGTGTTAAAAAATGTGAATGAAAGCCTCTGGTAAGTTATTTTTAAAAGGCCAAAGATTTCCATTCTGCACTTAATTAGATATCTTCTGAAAACCAGGAAAATGAGAGAAAAAAGATTTAAAAATGGTGCCAGAGAAACAGTACAGCTGGTAGGGCACTCACCTTGCAGACACATGACTGGGTTTGATTCTGGGCACCACATATGGTCCCCTGAACCCACCAGGAGTGAGCCTTGAGTGCAGAGCCCAAGGGACCCCACAAGTAACTTGGTTATCATCAAACAAACAAAAAACAAATAGAAAACTTTGAAATCATGTAATTCATATTGTAAAACTCGAGGGAATCTCTGCAATAATCTGGGGGCAGACAAAACTGAAAAGAAAATTCAACCTCTATAGTTTGCAAGACTATAAGCCCAGACACAGAACAAATGGCAGGGCTCAACATGGAATCAGATGGCTCAGACACAGAACAAACTCCCCAACCCAGACCTTACTCGTTAGGATGGACTTCCAAGCACTAAGCCATTTTTATTTTATTTTTACATCACCATGAGATAGAGCATTGCAAAGCTGTTCATGATTGGATTTCAATAATAATATTCCAATTCCCATCCCTCCACCAGTGTAATTTCCCAGTACCAATGTCCCCCGTTTCCCTCCCCTCCAACCCCCCATTTTTATTCTCCAGAAAAATTCCTCCCATGTGCTTAATGTCCTTATGATTGCCCACATGATGATTATATTAAGGGCAATCATTCCTAATCATTCTCTATTTAGAAATACCTGGATATTATACACATCTAGGTTATTGTGTACAACTTGATGAATTTTACATGTTCACAAATAAAAAATAGCCATTGTAATTAGTATCAAAACCCTCTTTTCTGAAGTTGTGGTCTTTTTCCTTTGTTCTGAGATACTTTAAGAAGTGGATGATCTAGTTTACAGAACTAGAATAGGTTAAACGGGACTTTCTGTACCCACCATACCATGAAGTTAGGCTTAAAATATGTTGGGGTGGTGGTGGTGGAGAAGTGTGTCATTTCGTATGTACATGACTATGTATGCTTGCTAATGTGAATTTGTGTCTGTATGTTTGTTAAGACTATATACAGAGGTGCGCAGATTTTTCTGTAGGCAGTTAGTTAAAGTTAAAGTTAAAGGCCCTCCCATTGATCGTCGATTTGCTCGAGCGGGCCCAGTAACGTCTCCATTGGAGACTTTGTTGTTACTGTGTCTGGCATATCGAATACTCTCGGTAGCTTGCCGGGCTCTCCGAGAGGGGCGGAGGAATCGAACTCGGGTCGGCCATGTTGGCCGCGTGTAAGGCGAACGCCCTACCGCTGTGCTATCGCTCCGGTCTGTAGGCAGTATATTTGTGAAAATATATTGTATACGTGGCTTCATGTGTACATATCATGTGTATTTATGACTGTGTGAGCATGGGTGTGTTCTTTTGTCATCTCCCAATTTCCTCTTCTACCACATGACACCCCCCCCCCCCCAATTTATTAATGGTCAGAATGCTTTCTTTATACATTTTCTGGTCTTTCAACCAGTTTCTAACAGAAACTTCAGAGCAAGGGTACTTCTGAAACCTCTGAGGAAACCCTGGCTTTGCAAGACAGGTCGGCACTTCCCAAGGATGAAGACAGTTTGCAGAGAATACATGCTACTCAATCTAGCTTCCAAGCTTATCCTTCTGGTCTTGGCTGTCACTGGGGCCAGGACTTCCCAAGAATTGACATGCGTGTCCATCAGGGAAATGCACCTCCAATAATGACCCAAGGGACCACAAGTACCAGCCTGTCTCTGGTATCTGAATGTGATATTTTAACTTACGGATATCTGAACTTTCAAAAGAAAGTTCATATTCTTTTGTAAGTGGATAAATGGCAAATAGAGGATTTTTTTTCAATTAACAAAAAGCTTGTCACCATTTGGAGTCAAACTTTGCCAACTCATAGGCTGGGCACAAAGGGAGTCACAGACATTCTTATAGCCACACAATGACTCAAATAGTTTCATTTAGTTGCATGATAACTCCCTGAAGATTCATCACTTTCTCTACACAATAAGTGGAATATTACTCTTGAAAGAAAACAGCAGGTAGGGTGTTTGCCTTGCATGCAGCCGACGGGGGCGACCCGGGTTCGATTCCTCCACCCCTCTCGGAGCACCCGGCAAGCTACCGAGAATATCTCTCCCCCACGGCAAAGCCTGGCAAGCTACCCATGATGTATTTGATATGCCAAACACAGTAACAAGTATCACAATGGAGACTTAGTGGGCCCACTCGAGCAAATCGATGAACAATGGGAGGACAGTGACAGTGATATACTTTAATGTACAGCTTATCCAATTCCCTGTGAACAGCAACAGCTCACCTGTTTTGGCCACCAAAACTGTCTTCAGAGGACTCTCCCATTCCTGGGACCAAGGTCTCTGCTGGTGTATGCTGGGGAGAGCCACTGCAGTCGTCTGGCCAGCTTGCACTGAGATCTCCCGGAAGACAGCAAAGTGAAAGAGCTTATGTCTTCGACTTCTATGCCTCGAGTAAGCCACAAGTACCAGGACACACACAAAATTCCCCACGGACAATATTTTCCTAATCGGAATTCCCCCCCCCCCCGCCCCCGCAATACTTTCAGAAGCTCCTCATACTAAATGTGCTTTAAGTAGAGGTTCTTGTGTGCCTGCCTAAAGCATACCACCCCTTGAAGGAGAGAAAATGAAATAATTGTTTTATTTAGAACCATCTGATAATTCTAGGAAGGTCTAAGTGTGAATAACGTGGGGACACCTGCCACCTTGAGAAAGTGTTGGCAGGACAGAGAAGGGGCATCCCTGATGACTGCGCATACTGTGTCCTCGACCCCCACAGGCAAGGCCTCCCACTTTACTCACTGGCGATGATGAAACTCTCCTCAGGATAAAGCATTCTCTTTCTCTTTAAAGCTATTTGTGATTTCCCAATTCTTACATCAACATATGGATTTTAACTGATTTTACAAAACTGTGTTTTTACTAAAAAAATGAACAAACTTTTCTCTCTACTCCAGAGCAAGTGACAGAAGGAAAGAGGGCCCACTTTCTGTCCCAGTACGGCTCCAAGAGGAGTCGCAGAGGCAGGAGAGACTGCAGATCCTGCAGGACCCAGGCACGTTTGTCTAAATCCCTTCTTCCTACAATGTTGCTGTTGCCTAGGAACAGGCAGCTGAGTAGCCTGGAGCCCCTACTGGACTTAAATTCTGCTGTTTTGGTTGAATAGGCGAGACCTGCTCAAACTTGCTTCCCTTCAAATTCCACACCGCACCAGGCATTGAGCCCTCCACTCTCTTTCCCTCTGTGCCAACTCTGCAAGCTGCAGAGAGCTCCAGGGCTGAGAAGAGAATTTGAATGGCTTTACCTGATCCTTTATTTCATGCTGCAGTGGTTGGTAACTAAATGTTTGGTTTTAGATTAGGGAATGGGGGGAGAGTATTACATTTGTAATTCAAGACAACTTGTGTACCAAAGAATGAGTACAAATAACTCTACAAAGATGCTCATTGTAGGTAATGAATTTAATTTTTTCAGGATTGAAATAAAAGTGACCTGGGAAAGCACTTAGGAGACTCTCAAGGATGATCATACATCTGATATTTCGTATATTCGCTAGTACAGCTGCCAGTAACTTTCATGTTTATTTTGCTTTCTAAATGTAACTTGGAGATGTAAACTTTTAGATACTATTCTAGATAGCATATATTTTATAACTTTTGAGATTCTAGATACCTTAGACCATCTATAATATCCACCCCATATCCAGTCAATACACACAGAGCATCAGTGTATGTGCGGCAAGATTTTAATCATTCAATTATAACAAAAATAGGAGGAATAGCTTAAGATCCAGGTGAAAGTGAACTTACCTTCTTTTGAGCTGATCCTTGGAGTGGGCTGCACCATACACAAGAGGGGCATGAAATGAATGAGCACCCTCCATCGAACTCCCAGGCAGGAAGCTCTCATGATGTCTCCCACTCAGCACCCCAGATCAGGCATCAAGAATACAGGTAGGGAACATAGACAGACAGGCCCTGAAGCAGCCAGGCCAGCCTCTAGAAAGGTGTCCTTCTTCTGGCCAAGGAGAGGGCAGGTTCCCCTATCCTCATTAACACTTCTGAAACAATCAGCTAATCCTGTGTCCCAGGAGAAAAACTCCTCCAAGAGCTCCAGGGTCCTAACACCACCTGCTTCTGACCTGCTTCCTCTGATGGGACTATGTCCTAAATGGTATAATCTGTCAGGGTATATGCAAATCCTACACTACTCCACTAAAGAATAATTAAAGTAGCATGAGAAAGCAGTGCTATCTGACACCGTATTATAATGGTTATCATCATAATAAAGTCACTTTCTAATCTGAAGAAAGCAGAACTATTACATACACCTGGGCCTAAAGAAAGCAAACCTTATACAATTCATAAATAACCAGTGGAACAGTAAACCCACTTTTACTAAAATCTTTCATTTTTCTCATTGGTCTCAAAACTACTCACTCTAATTTTCTTTGCTTGGGGCTATTCCAGGAAGTGCTGGAGGGTTCCTACTGGCAGGCTGTTTGGGAGACCATGCCTCCTGCATGCAAAACTTGTGCTCAGCCCATTCAGGTATTTCACCAGTCCCTTATATTTGTCTATTGTGCAAATGTCAGGATTTAAGTTTATTCCAAATACTGTTACTGGGTTTGATATCCATTCCCTATTTTTCCTCCATCTCTCTTCGAATGGGGAGCTCCTTCCCTCTGCAGCCCTGTGTAGCAATTTCACTGATGATGATGACCATAGTAAAAATAATTTTTCCACAGGAAAAAATTTGATAATTTTTTTCTCTCGAAAATACATTATAAGCAGCAAGATTAACATATTCACTTATGCATTTGTCTTGTTCCAATCATTAAAATTAAAAAAACGCAACACATATCTATGAAGGACTTTTATAGGTACCAAAATATATGATCCTATTGGGTTGTTTTTGGGGCCACACCTGGTGGTGCTCAGGACTTATATCTGGCTCTGCATTCAGGGTACCATGTGAAGTGCCAGGGATCAAACTAGGGTTGTCCATGTGCAAGGTAAACACCCTACCTGCTGTACTGCTACTCCAGCCCAAACTGTATTTTGTAAGTGTGAGCAGGGCATCTACAGGATCTGTCTTGTTGGTCTTAGTTTCACTCTTTGTCCTTTCATCTGATGAGTTTTTCCAGCATATAATTTGCTATAAATGACTAAGACCCATAAAATACAGGTAAAATTGATGTAGGCAGATAGATAGGGAAAGGCTCTCTGCAATGAAACAAAGTCTCATAGAAGAAGAATTCTAGGACTGACCCACCCTGTGGACACAGAGAATAAAGACTTGATAAGACCATCCCCAGACCCTGAAGATATGGGCTTCCTCCCCATGAAATTCCTCCTTTCTGAAAACCCCCCTTTCAATCCGGTTAACTCTAGCGACCCAGCCCCAAGGAGATTCCAGAACATTCTGAGTCAGAAGGATCTATAAGAGCCAGCTCGAGAGCCCACTTGGTGCTCTCTCCACCCTCAGAGAAGCCCGCGTTCCCTCGTTACTCCCCCCCCCCCCCCTTATCTGCTTATCCCTTTCTCTCCCTTTCCAAAAGCCTCCAAATAAAGCCTGTTACTTCACTGCTTGTCTACTCCTGAAATTCTTTTCTGAGAGCGAGACAAGAACCCCAGAAACCTCGGGTAAGGCTTGGGACTGGTCTCTCCTTTCCTGCAAAGAGCGAATTCTCGTCCCATCTTGAGTCCGTGGCTCCCCGAGCAATCGGGTGGCGGGGATTAACTCCCATGCCGAGATCAAGTGGACTTCAGGTGTGACTTGACGGCCACCTTGTGGGGCTGGCGGGGCTTAGGCCCATGCCGAGCAGGTGCTCACTGCAGACTTTACCGGTCCTAGCCTACCCAGGGTCCCGGGTGGCAGAGGCGGGTGGGGAGAAAGTGGCCGTCTTTCTCCTCCCCACTTCACATAAGTCACCCGTGGGGCCCACCGACATCAAAATCACTTTTAATTCCATCTAGACTATGTAACCCACACCTCACCTCTGCTGTATAAAGGTAGACTCAGGATAAAACCCACGACCCCAGCTCTGCTCCTTTGAACTTCACTTAGAAGTTAAAAGAAGCCACTACTCATATTTCTCCTGGTTATTTCAAAATGTAAAAGGAGGTTCACTTAGGGGCAAATAAGATACCAAAACTTAAAAAAAATCACACTGAACATTCATTCCATTGATTCTTAGAAACTAAGCCCAATTTTTTATAGGCTACTTTGAAATGCTAGGCAGGAGAGGGCTGAGGGAAGGAACTGCATAACCTGCCTCCTCCATGCAGATCACACTTGGCTGTTACTTTTGTTGTTTATCAGTTTCTTTAACCTTTTCAGAAAGCCTGGATTCCCCCCTAAGGAAGATGACTCAGGTTTCAAAGACCTGTTACAGTTGAGTCTGCAAGGCATCAGGATTCCTGAGGTGCTGACCAAACCCATCTCAGTTGGCACCCTGGGAGCAGAACATTCACTAACAACACTTTCCCATCTGGTTTTGTTACTGTTTACAAAACCCTTGAAGTGCCTGTGAGTGCACTTAAAAGAAGCTGCAGGACCCTTAACTGGTAGGTAGCTAAGTGACACCCTTATCTCTCCTAGAAATCTCTTCTACACTGTCCACCCTCCCCCAACCCCCACACACTGTGCCTGAACAAAATCAGTCACACACTTATTTCACCTTATTTATACTGGGATTGTGATGACAAATTATTCTGAAAGGTGGAGCACTTGTATCATTTGTCCTTCCTTGTTCATCGATTTGCTTGAGCGGACACCAGTAACGTTTCCATTCGTCCCTGTCATGTGCTAGTGTAGCCCAATGGTGTACTGGGGGCTCTTTTAGGGTCAGGGGAATAAGACCCCTTATTGTTACTGTTTTTGGCATATCGAATATGTCACCAGCAGTTTGCCAGGCTCTGCTGAAAGGTGGATATTATCTATTAATGTGGGTGGCATTGTGCGCCTACTGCATTTCAATGTGACAAATACTGGGTCTCCTTACGAAAATAAGGACATGCTGTGAAAATTAAGACTAAATTCCTGGAGCAGGAAGAGATGTGGTTCAGTACAGTGCGTATTTGCATGTAGCACTATAGCACTGCCCTTCCGTTGTTCATTGATTTGCTCGAGAGGGCCCAGTAATGTCTCCATCGTGAGACTTGTTACTGTGTTTGGCATAACGCATACATCATGGGTAGCTTGCCACGCTTTGCCTTACAGGTGAGATAGTCTTGGTAGATTGCGAGGCTCTCCGAGAGGGGGCGGAGGAATCGAACCCGGCGCTCAGTCAGCTGGCTGTGCACAAGGCAACTGCCCGGCCGCTGTGCTATTGCTCCAGCCCACCCTCTCCCCTTCCAAAAAAATAAAATTACTTGTGAGGCCAGAGATACAGTGCAGTGGGCAGGGTGTTTGCTTTGCAGGCAGCCAACCGGCACCCCATACGATCTCCCAAGCGCCAAGAGGAGTGAGCCCTGAGCGCTGCCAGGTGTGGCCCTAAATGCAGACTCTTTTCTTTCTGTAATGAAGGATTCGGGGGAGCTGATCAGCTTCAGGCTCCGCAGGGCCCAAGCTGTGAGGTGTGAGGAACTAACCGACGAGATGGAGTAGGCAGAGCTGGGTCCTTTAACTGGAGGGGGCCCTCCGGAGAGAGGCCCTCTCAGCACTGTCCAGGGGTGACAGTTGGTTCTGACAGGGGGTGAGCAGGAGACGGGCGGGCAGTTCTGGGAACTGCAGTGGGCCAGGAGTCTCCTGGTGTCGGCCCGCTGGTCCGTTGATGCAGGGATTGCAGCGGGGCACCATGCTTTGGGTGTTTCCTTTAATAGTTGTTGAGTGAAAAGAAGCAGGAAAGGTACAAGCAGCCAGTGGTGCTTAAGTTTCTATGGGCAGAACCTGTCACCATGGTGTCCATGTGATGGCGAGCGGAGCTGAAGGCCCAGGGGCTCAGCAGGCTGAGAAAGAGCAGTGTGCGGGGGCCAGAGAGATGGTGCAGTGGGTAGGGCCCTTTTGCCTTCCTCACCCCAGCCCCCAGTGCCGCTGGCGGTTCCCTGAGCACAGAGTCACAAGTAAACCCCTGAGCATCGCCAGCTGTGGCCCCAAAACCAAAATCGAAAGAAAACTTTGTGGGTGCAAGAGGATGGGTGCCGTCTCCACAGGGCGGGGGAGGGTCTCACAGGGGACCCATTTTTACACGGGAGCATTATTTCCAGGCTGGCGGGCAGTCACGCAGGGACACTCGAGGGAGGGCGGGTGCCACGCTGGCTGGATGTGGCCAATGAAGATGGAGAAGTCGAGGCCGGCCCAGCCTGGGTCCCTGCCCGCACCCCACCCCTCCCCCCCTCCAGCTGCCCGGCTCCGAAGGCCTGCTGGGCTGCTGGGCTGATAGGCCGCTGTCGGGTGTGGGCTGCTCATGAGGCCTTCCCCGCTGTCTCCCTCCAGGAACTGTGGTGAAGGGCATGCAGAGCTGCAGGAGGTGCTCCTGACCGTGGAGACCAAAGCGACTCAGAATAGGCCCGGCCCCCTAGGCCACTCTGCTCGGCAAGGCCAGTGGGGGAGGAAGGAAGGGCAGCCATGGCCCCCTAGTGGCCCTGCAGCCCCACCAGGCTCACCAAAGGCCTCATCTCCTGTCTGGGGATAACTTCCTGCCCTTTCATGGGGGGCAGGAATATTTGCATATTAAAAAAAAGGTCACAGTCACGGTCCTCCCTTTCTTCATCGATTTGCTCAAGCGAGCGGGCCCAGTAACGTCTCCATCGTGAGACTAGTTGTTACTGTGTTTGGCATATTGAATACGTCACAGGTAGCTTGCCAAGCTCTGCCAGACTAATAATGTTCAGCACTGGTGGAGGGATGGGTATTTGATCACTGTATAACTGAAACCCAAGCACAAAAATTTGTAAGTCTACAAC